CACCGGGACAAGACCACAGGAACCAGTTGAGTCCTCTGCACAATGTGACTTTGCTGCAGCCTGGAATTGAACTGAATTGCTGGTTTCATCTGGTCAGAGGAGAACTGGCCCCCCGACTGAGCCTGGTTTATCCCAAGGTTTTTTCTCCATTCTGTCACCGATGGAGTTTTGGTTCCTTGCCGCTGTCGCCTATGGCTTGCTTAGTTGGGGAAACTAAATTTCCAGCGATATCGTCGACTTGATTGCACAGATACTATTTAAACTGAACTGAGCTGGATGATGACATCACTGAATTCAATGATGAACTGCCTTTAACTGAAAATTGAGTGTTTACTATTGTCATTTTGCATTATTGACACTATTTTCCTAATTAATGCTGTAGAGTTGCTTTGACACAATCTGTATTGTTAAAAGTGCTATATAGATAAAGGTGACTTTACTAAATTTAATATGAATCCTTAAAGCTACAAAAGTTATTGATTTCCTCTTTTTTCTTTTGTTCTTTGATTACCGGACATCACAGCAGCTGGCTTATTAGGTTATTTGGCTGCTATTACTTTAAGATCTGCCGCTGCTGAATGTGACGCGGATCTGACACGCATGCTCGTAGTTTCATTCGGGCTTTAATATGAAATTATACAGGCTACAGCACGCGCCGTCGTATTTGTGCATGTAATTGAGAAGCACGGCCTATGAGCAATGATCCCTCAAATTTTTTTTCTTGCGGAGCAAAACTTTTCTCTATTGGGCGGACATTTCGGCTACCACAGCAAAAACATTTATACCAGACCTGTACAGCGCACACTAGGGCTGGGCAAAAAATCGAAAAGCTTGTCAGTGAACTACGGCTCTATGTAATAAATGCCGCTCCATCTGAAAGCACGTGCTGAAGATTTACTACTAATCTCCAGAAGCAGCTTTACTGACAAGATGCGCATGAAAATCGCATTCGATTTTTTGCACAGCCCTAGCACACACAAAAAAAGAGCGTAACTTTTAACTTTAATGTGCTATTTATATTTGATTTGACCCTTGATGTTACTAAATGATTCTAGGTTACCAAAGAGAAAACATTGACAGTGCTGTTAACAAGAAATTCCATTAAAAATCATAAAAAAAAAAACTCAAGCAGAACAGTTCAGTTCTTTATTATAATATAATATATGAAAAAAAAATGAAGCAGATATAGCTCATGAATTCCCTTTTTGAGGTCATTTATTTATTGGGTTTATAATATAATATATATAAAAACAAACTGGCATTTAAACTGACAGAATAGAATAGAATAGAACAGAGTAGGAAATGAACTGAAGCATTTAAACTGAGATCTGTAAGCTAAATATTTTCAAAAACGTTAAAGTGAATTCTTATATCTAAACATCCCTATGTAGAGTTCGCAAACTACTACACCTGTGTATAACTGTAAACGTCTCTGAGTTTTGTTACCATTCTGTGCCCATCATCCGCTATTTCCAGCACTTAATTAGGCCACTCTTCTTTAATCATGATGATGTTTTATTTCACATGTCGTGTTGAGATATTTCATCCACAACCATTAAAGCATTCGATTTCTTAAACGACTTGGCGCACATCATTCTCTTTCTATGACACCTGTAAACCTGTAAACTACATTCACCGGTTCTAACTATAGCGACACCAACTCTATAGCGGTTTGCCCAAACATCGCAATTATTTCGCATTTACTAGAATTCAATCAAAATGCTTTCCCAACTCGTTTTTGAGTGTGCACAGCGTATTGTTTCTTCTGCGCGGTTGCGATGCAAGAAGCGTGCAGCTTGGAGGGAACATTGCCTACGAGCACAGTATAATGGCTGACAGGAGAGAAAAATTACTGACATATGGCCTGACACCATCTCAACTGATTGTTCTACTGAAGCTCCTCATCACCTGTACCGTTTCCGCGTTCGCTTGACTCGCACCCGGCGCTGAGGCGAAGTGGAGGTCTGAAAAGTCTCCTGTTTGATGTGGTCGTAAAGACGTTCTGCGTCTAAATAAACGCAATTCTTGTCAAAGAAAAAATGAGACAGAAGCAGCAGTTGTGAGTGGGGTGGCCAATCCTAGCTCCGCCCCGGCGTTAAATATTTTTAACAACGTTAAACTCGAAAAATTAATTGCCTGCTAATTTTGACAGCACTATTAAAAATACAAGTAAGAATTCAAGACACGGCTAAACAATAAGAATGGCCTACAGACAGCCATATTTGATGATGATGTATCGCTTTTATGACTTGCAAACTTAAACTGAAAGTTGTTGTGAATTTGCAGGATTTAAATGTGTCATAAAGGTAAGGTTATATAACTGGCTATAAATTTTGTCAGAACTGTAAGAATGACTTGTGAAAAGTGCATTATGAAATCAATAAGTAGAATTCAAGCACTTTTAAGCAGTGGCAGCTGGGGGAAGCTAATAATGATCAATTTACAGAATAATCAATGTTAAATTTAGTCACTTTTAGAAACCACCTCGTAGCGGTGGCAATTTAATTCCACTGGAATATAACAAGAGTATAGTGCATATTATATTATTAAAGAAAATTAAAAAAGGAAACGCAAATTTACGCTCTGCCATTCTGGATTGCAGAAGAACAGGATGCAGGAGAAGCAAGTTTAACAATCCTTTCAAGAATAAAGATTTAAAAAATTAAACCGTGACATAATTTGCATGTTCACATTATCAGAGGTCAGCAGCAGAGACTTTGGTCATACTTTATTTTAAGATCCAATTCTCGCCATTAACAAACCACTAACTTTAGCCTCAAACGCCTAATTTGCTGCTTATTAATAATTAGTAAGATAGTTGTTAAGTTTAGGTATTGGGTAGGATTATGGATGTAGAATATGGACAGAATATGTGCTTTATAAGTACTAATAAACAGCCAATACGTTAATAATAGGCATGCTAATAAGCAACTAGTTAATAGTCAGAATTGGTCCCTATTCTAAAGTCACAGAGGCCTTTATAAATTGAGATTAAACCCATAAAAGCATGTTTCAACAACGGAAATAATAATAAATACCTGTAAGGCTCATGTATGAGAGAGTGGGGTGCTCTGATTGATCGGCTACCGATCACCATCGGCCGATAATCACACTGGGATGATTGATCGGCGGTCTCTAAAAGGCCGATCTAAAAAATAACGATCTCAAGCTGATGACGCTGCCGTGAGAGGTTTGGCGTAAGTTTGCAAGGTTTTTGAAATTAGATGTTTATTAGACATTCAAAGATTTGTTTAAATGATATAAATGCGTATTTGCTGAATGCTGACGGCAAACAAGAAAGTATTATAATGTTTGCCTTTCTATTACTAATAATATAAAAGCAATCGTTATAAGACTTTTTGTATACATTTTAATTCCTTTGTTTAAACGTTCTATCTGATTATTAGACAGACTTCTATCCGTATTTAGACAGAACTGTTAGCGACAACAGCGAATCAGAGGGAGAATGTGAGCACCGTGTGCTCAGGCGCTGCCGTTCTCAGCGCCGTCAAAATAAAAGTCAGGCGTGCCGTCAAAATAAAAGTCCTGCCTCGAACGCATCGGCCAAACAGAAAATCTTATCGGCTGATGCCGATATTTAAAAAATGGCAAATATATATGGCGATATATCGGTCAACCACTAATTTTTTCTGCGCTCGTTAACGGATTAATAAAGCGTGCACACTGCACACGGTTGCGGTCCGGCAGTGTGTTCAGGAGCGGTGTGTCTGCAGCAGTGCAGAGATCGTATCCACACCGAGTCTATTGCTGCGCTGCAAGCTCTGAATTAAAGTAAGAGTGCATTGTTTGCAGTAAATATATACATGGATTGACACAAAAATGTAGTAATTACACCATAAATGCATATTATTAAAGTCTACTGTGTTTCACAGTCAACACATAGGCTATGGCTTTTTGGCTAGGTTTAAAGGAAAAGAGCACTTTTAGATAAACAAGGCAATAATTTTAAAGTTCTTAATTAAAGTTCTTTATGAACCACAGGACTGCTTGTAATAAAGATTTAAATGCAAAAGAAAAGGCAGTAGAGCTGACTATTTCTGACAATGGTAAGTTTGTGATAATGAAAGAAAAGTAGTTTAAATATTTTGCCAATTGCTTGAGCAACTTAAAGGGGTCATATGATGCGATTTCAATTTTCCTTTCTCTTTGGAGTGTTACAAGCTCTTGGTGCATAAAGAAGATCTGTAAAGTTGCAAAGACTAAAGTCTCAAATCCAAAGAGATATTCTTTATAAAAGTTAAGAGTCAGCCACACCTACCTAAAACGGCTCGTTCTAACACGCCCCCACATACCTACGTCGCTCTGTGAGAAGATTTGCATAACGCCGCCCAAATGTTCACACAAAGAAAGAAGGCGTAACTTTTATTCTCACTGTAGTATTGT